GCCGGAGGGGCCACCCAGGGAAGTGCTCAAGAGCAGCTCCCACTCCCGAAAGGGAAACCGACTGCGGTGCTCCCGGCTCATGTGGAGTGGTGCCCCACTTGAGTACCTTGTGGCTCATTGGTCCTCACCCTTCCTAAGGGCTTGGGCCTTCCCTTCGAGATGGAAGTGGGGGGTAGAGGTACCCATACCGGGCCGTTAGGCCACGGTGTTTCGCACCGACGTCCCGAAGCAAGTGCTGCACCCAAGGCTTGGGATTTAGAGGGTCCTATGATCAAGTCTTGTGGTACTAAGGGGTGTTAGGAATCTGGAGGCTTGGTGTGCTTGGCTGCTTGTGCCTGCGGGGAGTGTAGCCGAACCTTAAGTCCAGTCTAGCCCGGGGAGGGGGATTGGGAGAGATTTGGGAATCCGTAGATGGATGGCTAACACTCCGTTGCTCGTGCAATGAGTAGCTGAAACCAAGTAGGACCAAGTAGGAGCTGGTACCATAGGCGAGAACCTTGGCGAGGGAACTTAGCACAAGCCAAGGCAAAGTTGGTCGGATAGACGAGGTAAGCTGGCAAATTGGAAAGGAAAAATTTGTGGCTTACAGGGGGGTTATGCGGGTTGTGGGGGGTTCCAAATGTGTAGTAAGGATAGTGGGTAGGTTGGGCATGGTCGACCAACTTAAGGCATAGTCTAGCTCTTGCTTGCGTTCCTGTCCTTGTTCTGCGTCCGGCTTGGGTCTAAGCCCAAACTCCACACCATGCTAGCTAGTGGAGTACCTATATTCTCGTGTTAGGCCATCAGTATACTAAAATAGCACCAAACTTCATTTGGCTCTGTTTTGCATGCTAGTTCTGGCATTGGGATGTTGGAAACTCTAGGACTGTTCTAAGTTGCTCCGTGCTCCTGTCCCTTCGCTCCTTGGGCTGTAGGCTCGAGAGTTGCTCCGTGGTCCTGTTCCATCACTCCCTGGCTTCATGCTTAGGAGTTTGGCACCGTTTTTTCGTTTAGTGGCCCAAGGCCCTGAACCTCGGGTTCCACACCACTGTCCTATGGACACATGGCATATAGAGGGTTTAGGTTCCACTTCGTGGTGTTATCTTATGGTAAATCACCATAGGATAAAGGGTCAAAACCACATGCGTTACAACATAGCTCCACATTCTCCTTTACGTTATAGAAACTCCTTGCAAAAGTAACATTTTATAAAATCAAGTTGCTCTATAAGTACCTCACCTTATTAAGGTTATATATGTAATACACCATGAAATTGTTTGCAATTGAATTCTTGAAACTAATTGTAGTCTAGTAGTCCAAGTTAAAGCATTAAAGGAACTACTCCTTTGGACTTTTCTTGCAAAGTAGTTAGCTCTCTAAGCCATATATTTCACCCAAATATGCTCATCTTCCCCTCCATGGAATTTTTAGAAGGTGGAAGCTCAAAGACCAAATCCCTATCATAGTCTTCAAAAAGTCTGGATCAATGCACAAAAGTTCCTGCAATGATACTTCGAATTAATGTGCTTATAACTTTCATAGGTTTTAGTAGCTTAAATATAGATTCACTATCCATATGTCCTATATTTGCATTTTTTCTTGAGCTTACCACTGAAGAACTTGCTATTACCGAGGATGCACATCACTCCTTATTTGTTGTTGAAGAAAAAACCTCTTTATTCCAAATTGTTGCATCACTTGAACTTACCATAAACTCCTATAGTTGAAACTCTGCTTCTACAATTGGATTTGGTGCAAAATACATTTTCCCATCCAAAGAACTCTGTAGCACATGTCCTTTATCCTATGGTGATTTACCATAGAATAATCACGAGGCAGAATTTAAACTGTCTATATGCCACATATCACATGCCACATGTCCAAAGGACAATAGAGTGGAAGCTAAGTTTCAAGGTCTTAGGCCACTAAATGAAGGAATGAAGCCAAACTCTTAAGCATAAAGCCAAAGAGCGAAAGTACTAAAGCACAAAGCAACTCTCAAACATACAGCCCAAGGAGCAAAGGGATAGAAGCATGGAGTGACTTGGAGTAGTCCCAGAGTATTTAGCATCTTAATGCCAGGACTAGCCAAAACAGAGCTAAACGGAGTTTGGCACTATTTTAGCATACTAGTGGCCTAATGCGGGAATATGGGTACTCTACTAACTAGCATGGTATAAAACTTAGGCTTAGACCCAAATCAAACACAAAACAAAGATAAACATGCAAATGGGAGTTAAACTATGCTTTAGGTTGGTTAGCCATGCCCAACCTACCCACTATCCTTACTATACATTTAGAACCCTCTATAACCCACCCTCCCTAAGGAACACACGCTTTGGGCTTTCACCCCAAGCCTCCTTTAGTACCAAGAGTTAGTTTCTGGAACAAACTCAAAATTTACTAAATATGGAATGTTCCTAGATTGCAAATTTGGACATAGGACGAATACCACTATGTTCAAGAGAATCTCTACATTCTATAAATATGTCAAATAAGCAAATCTAGACACTTTCCATAAATAGTATTTGGGACAAGAATGAGACTAACACAAAAGGCATGATAGCAAAGGTGTTTAGGAGACACAGTAAGCTATCATTTAGCAAATATTAAGGAACCAAATTCAATATCGTGAGGGTTTTTGATACTAGCAAGTGCAAGCCAATGATACAAGTTTCTCAAACTAAACCGAATATGCTCAGCAAGCAATACAAAGGGTTCTTACCTTATATTTATTCAATTTAAGTGCATGGCCATTGACTAGTTTCTCAACTAGCTCAAGTGGGAATTGATAATGGGTCCACCAATATTGACCTTCTACCGTTATGGCATCACAACAAAATGACCCTTTACCTTAAGCCTTTTTTGTAACATTCTAACCTGATCAAAATGAATCCCAAAGAAAACATATAAGGATTTTTTCTCTATTAGTGACTTCATTTCTAATAATAACTCTCTCTCTTGATATCTCACAATCTCTATTGCAACATTACTCACTATTGGATTTTCAGCCATACCTAAAACAAGGGAAAATCAAAATGCATTTTACAAAAAAAATCAAATCATTAATAGTAGTAAATTCTTATAACTATAATTTTATTTCATTTTCTCCAAAATTGATTTAAGGCTTTAAGGGGGATCTAAGGCTGACATTAGTATTAAAATCAGATTAGGGTTTTTGGCAACTATGGTTTCTAAGCCTGTTAAATGAGTCATGGTGGCTCTATCAAAAAAGTTCTTCGTTCTGTTCATTCGAAATAAAGCACGCCATGGAAAGCGAAGGAAAGATGATCGCTTGCTACAGTAACGGTCTTCCATTTCTGTTTTGACCCTTAACACTCTTCTTTCCTTTCCAGCTGGGAAGCCGATGGTCATCGAGAGATCCAGGTTGCGCCGCCGGGATCGACCGAAGTTCGTCTTAAAATCGTCCACACCTCTCTGTGCCGCACAGACATCACCCTCTGGAAGAATGTAAGCTAAGTTTCCTTTTCTCCTCCTTTTTTTCTTGTCTTGATCTTGCCTCTTCTCAGTCAGGGCAACATATTCCCTCGCATTTTCGGTCCCGAAGCAGCTGGGTGAGTCTACTCTGTCGAAACTCTTGAGATTTCCTGGAACTTGGAGGGTTTTTTTTTGGTCTAGAATCGTTGAGAGCATAGGCAACGATGTGAAGGGTGTTCAACCAGGAGATCACGCACTCACTCTGTTCACAGGAGAGTGCAAAGAGTGTGACTACTGCAAATCCGGAAAGACCAACGTTTGCCAAAAGTATGGAATCGATCCGGAGAGAGGGGTGATGGTGAGCGACGGTAAGAGCAGATTTCTTACAGAGGATGGCAAGACCATATACCACTTTTTTGGGAACTTCAACCTTTAGTCAGTACACTGTTGTGGATCAAGCTTGCATTTGTGTTGTAAATAAGGATGCTCCTCTCGAGAAGATTTGTCTGCTCAGCTGTGGTGTCACTACAGGTAACTCTTGGAAGTTTTAGCTTTTGTTTCTTAGATTTTTATTTTATTTTTTTCTTTCAGGTGTTGGTGCTGCGACAAAAGCTGCGAAAGTGGAGAGGATCCACAGTAGCAATCTTTGTTCTTGGAACTATTGGATTTGCTGTAAGTGAATGGTCATTTTCCAGGCCTTCTTTTGCTTTGGTTTTCAAACGAGTCATGGTTTTCTCGTGTAGGCTGCACAAGGTGCTAAGATTCGCGGATTATTGGCATAGATATAAATCCTTCAAAGCTGGAAGAAGGTATTGCAGATTGTTTTTTCACCTTGCTATATAGGAAAGGCGAAGTTTGGCTTGACGGATGTGATCAATCCAAAAGACCATGACAAACCAGTGCAAGAGGTAATTTGCGTTAACCTATATGTCTTTCTCGCTACAAAAAGCTCATCAAAACTTTTAAGGTGATTCGAGAAATGACTAATGGAGGAGCTGATTACACCATCGAGTGCGTTGGAAATGTGAATATCATTCATGATGCTGTGGAGAGCGGTCATGAGGTGAATTTGCAGAGATGTTAGTAGATCCTACGTAGATTTCTATCGTTTTTGTCTATAACAGGGCTGGGGAGTCACTGTTGAGGCGGGTTTAGACGAAAGCACCAAAGTCCTGACCGTGAGTCCCAAAAATTTCCTCTTTGGACGCTGGCTCACGGGAACTTGGTTTGGGGCTACAAAGGAAGGTCGGAGCTCAATCAACTAGTGGAAAAGTACATGAACAAGGTAACATTTGATCGTTTATATGGTTTACATGGTTTGGGGTGATTATTCATTTGATCGATCTAGGAGCTAAACCTCGATGACTTTATTACACACAAGCTTCCATTGGCCAAAGTTAACGACGCTGTGACTCTGATAAGTGTTTGAGATGCGTGCTCGACGCAAATGCCGTGTGAAAAATCTTTGTATAGACATTGACTGTGCGATTTTAATAATTCGTCATATGCCTATGTGGCTGCCACGTTGGCAATGCGTCATACGTGGCAAAACCCAAAACCCTTTGCCCTAATAATTGGGGGAATGGGGCTTAGGGCTAGCCGTGGGCTATGGTGTGGAAGAGGACGGGGGCGCCTCTATCTAGTCTCTCTGCACTAGGCCGCCCATCGTCCACCGCAGCGCCCGCGCTCAAGGTACGCTCCACGCCATTCGCTTTCGCTAGCTCCAATTTGCGCCTTCTTTCCAAGCCAGGATCTCGCAGTTGCCATGGCGTCGCGGCTCCGACCGGCGATCCGTCGCTAGGGCTCTTGGAATCTAGCGTTGGGGAAGAATCGTCTATCTTGGAAGAGGGTTTGGCGGCGAATCCCGCAGCAATGTGGCAGCAGCAGCAGCAACAGCAATCCGAGTGGAGGAATGCGAATCATCCATTCTGGCAGCAGTACCAGCGGCAGCAGCAGTACCAGCAGCAGCAGCAGCAGTGGAGGAATCAAAACCAGAGCTGGCACGATTTTCCTCGCGAGTTTCCACAGGCGCCGCTAAACAGCCCCCGATACATTGGCGATGGAACGCGCAGGACTTCTCAAGGGCCTGGAACTGGAGCAAGGGCGGCCTTTCAACCCAACAGGTCGTGGAACCAAAGAGACAATAGGAATTGGCAAGGTGGGAGGTTTGTGAGGCAGGATGATACTCGACGCTGGCTCCATTCTAAAGCTCAACCAAGCTCCTTTCGAGGTAATTCTTTCGTTGTTCTTTCTCTCCCTTTCTTTTCTCATTTTTTTGGATCTTTTTCCTTCCAGAAAGGTTCATGTTTCTCTCGTACAACATTCTAGCCGCCGACAATGCTCGGGAGCATTATCGTGAGCTCTACTATCACATCCCAATGCGCTATGTGAAATGGGACTGGAGAAAAGTGCGCTTGGTGCAAGAAATCGAGTACTGGTCACCGGACATTCTTTGTTTACAGGTACTGTTAAAAAAGCTTTGTTTTGTTTTTTTGCTTGTAGCATGTTTATACTGATGATGTTTTCAGGAGGTCGATCGCTTTGCAGATTTGCAAGGCGAGCTAGTGAAGAGAGGATATGCCGGGACGTTCAAGGTTACTGGATGTTATGTTTCCCCTTCTTTTGTACCGAAACCATTGTTTTTACAGCGTCGAACTGGCACTGCCACGGACGGGTGTGCGATCTTTTGGAGAGAGAAAAGGTTCGCAATTTCGCATTTCGCATTTCTTCGTCGTCAAGAGTTACGAGCTGCAATCAGGTTCCTACTACTGGAAGAGGAAAGCATCGATTTCAAGGACTATGGTTTACGGGACAACATAGGACAGATATGTGTTTTGCGGGTATGAATCTCCTGTTCATTTTGTCCTAGAGGAGGATTGACGACTTGTTTTTTAGAGTACAAGAGAAGCAGCCCTCGAGGGAGATGTATCTAGCATAGAAAATCAGGTTTTGGTTGTGGCAAATACTCATATTCTTTTCAATCCAAAACGTGGGGACATTAAACTTGGCCAGGCAAGATTTGATTTTGGTTTTCTTCTTGACTCGTTCCTTTTTCCAGGTGCGAACGCTTCTTAATACAGCTCAGGAGTTGTCTTCGAGCTGGGGTGGCGCGCAAGTTATTGTGGCCGGGGACTTCAATAGTACACCATCGGTGAGTACACAATCAAAAGCTTACCTGGTTTTATCGCTCATTTCTTTTCTTCCAGAGCCCACTCTATCGCTACATCTCCACAGCAGAGGTATTCATTCAACGTTTTCCAAGTGAATCTTAAAAGCTCGTCTGCAGCTTGATGTTTCTTCCCTAGATAGGCGATCAATCTCCGGACAGATAGCTGATGGAGAAGGTGGCTATTATCGGAATCCTTTCTCGAAACCATGGATCAGAGGCCACAATCCTTCCTCAGCTGGATTTTCCAGGATCAATGTGGAAACCACGTCAGTACATAACGAAGATGGCATGATCATAGAAGAAGTTGCCACTTTGGGGATTGCTACAGCAACCGCTGCTGCACAGGAAGAAGAAGACGAGGCGAACGCTGAAAAACTACCGGCGAGTAGCTCCAGTGAGCTCATGGTTATCAAGACAGTGACGGACAATTTAGTTGTCCAGAAGAGTTTTGAAGCTGCGGAGGAAGAAGTTCTCCAAACATCCAGCAAGGAGGTCCACTTTGAAGAGCCTTGGGACACTGAAGAGGGAACTCCAACACAAGAAAAAGGGCTGGGGGACGATGAAACCAACTCGCCCGACCGTGTGGAGCTACCATCGGGATGGACAGTCGAGGAGCTAGTGAATGCCACGGGCACTTCATCGTCTACCAAGGTGGTCCACGACTTAAAGCTGAGCAGTGCCTATTCGGAGATCGAGGTAAGTTCTTTCCTTTCGTTTCTCGCTCGCAAGTTACTAGATCTTGTGACAGGGAAAGGCTGGAAGCAGGGACTCGCAAGGGGAGCCTCTAGTGACGACTTACCATAAGAAGTTCAAGGGGACTGTGGATTACATCTGGTATGGCCACTGTTCCAAAAATATATCCTTTTGTAATGTTCTTTTTGCTCCAGGCACACCGAACGACTCCGGCCTTTGAGAGTCGTAGACATGCTTTCTGTGGATGTTCTTCGTCATACGGGAGGCCTTCCTTCCCAGGTAAAAAACTTTAGCTGGAACTTTCATAGCTTCATTGCTAACTTCTTCTGAATCAGAAATGGGGGAGTGACCACATAGCGTTAGTTTGTGAGATGGAATTTTCCTGACCAAAGCATAAATGCCAAGCAAAGAAAAAAATCGTTATGAAGAGAAGTTATTTTTCTCCAGAAAGGTACACAGCAATTAGAGAGAAGTTCTCAGTTATTTCAATCTCTAGAGTTATCAAAACTGCACTGGTAATTCAATCCATCGTCGCTCACTTGAGACTTTCGATGATCTTCTCGCTCTCAGTGTTGTGCACGTAAGCAACACCCTTGTCGATGGAGCCCATGAGCTCGTCTTTCATTTCGTCCAGGCATGTTTGCTCGTACTTGGAGATCGGTCCCAGCTCGAGAGCTTTCACCATGCCGTGTTTCCCGAGCTCAACCTGAGAAAAAACCATGTAAGAAACCTCCAAAAGAAACAGAAAAAGCTCACCTTGGATGCAAAGAATGGATAATCTGTGACCGAGGAGCCAACGTAGGCGCACTCGATGATATTCGGCTCTCCATTCATTGCCTTCAAGCAGGACTCGGCGAAAAGAGCAGCGGCATAGCTGCAAAAGGCAAAACAAAACCGGTGGAGCTATTTCGAGATTGAATACACGAAACCACTTACGCCATGGACAGTGTCGCAGAACCCTTTCCAGCTTTGGCCTGGACTACTTCCGTTCCACCGTCTTGTGTCTTCCTCGTGAGCTCCTCGACCTCTTCCTTCGACAGAGGTACTTGTGGAGTTGCCTATAGAAATGAAAAGTGATCAGCAAAATGGAGCTTGTAAGCGAAGATCATACCTGTGAAAACAAAGGAAGAATGGTCTTGCCGGCGTGTCCCCCAACGACAGGGACGTCCACATCTGTAGAGGCATCCAGTCAAAAAAGAAGCTTTTTTCGCCAGAGATAACTTCTACCTTCGATCGGGAGGTTCTTGGCTTTAGCATAGAAGGTCCTCGCGCGCACAACATCCAAAGTCGTCACACCAAACAACCTCGTGTGATCGTAAGTGCCCTCGACCTTCAACACCTCGGCAGCAATAGGCACGGTGGAATTCACTGGATTGCTGATCATGTTGATCAAAGCCTGCGTACGCATCCATTCTCTTCAGTCCAAAAAGCCAAGCAAAGGAAAAAAAAGTAGAAGAGAATCGACTTACGAAAGGGCAGTGCTTGGCGATAGCTTGGACAAGCTTCTTCACAATCCCGGCATTGATATCAAAAAGCTCGTCCCGGGTCATCCCAGGCTTGCGAGGAACACCGGCGGGAATTATCACGAGATCCGCGTCCTTGAGAGCGTCCTTGAGCTGATCATCTCCAGCAAACCCATGCACCTGGAAGAACCAAAAGAAAAAGAGAAAAGCTAAAGCCATCGGCTAGACAGATCCAACCCACAAAACCCACCTCTGTCCGGGTGTTGATATGCGATAGATCGGTCGCCACACCGGGAGTCCCCGCAATATCGTAGAGCGACAGCTTGCTGACGAGCGGATTGAGCTTGAGGAGCATGCTTAGCGGCTGCCCAATGCCGCCCGCGGCGCCGAGAACAGTGACCCTGCGGTAAGGCAGCGGCTTCCTCACGGGCAGCGGCTTCCCTCCTGGCACGGACGACATACACCGCTTGAAGATCATCGCCGTGCGCTTGGACGCCATAGCTACCGCGGACTGGATCGATCGATCGCTCGCTCGCTCGTCTTCCACAAAACAAGCGAAGAAACCTAGAGATTTAGCCAGGTATATTCTAGACGTACTGCTAATCCCCGCCGTGCATAAAGCATATTCTTTAATCAGTTTATTCTGCTAAATCTTAAACCCAACGCTGTATATTCTGTTTGTTAGGATATTCTTCTAAATTTGAAACCCTGGGCTTTTAGGGTTCCGCCCGATGCCGCGAAAAATCGTTTGCTGCATAGCGCGCGAAGAGTGCACCGTCAGTAAGGGCTAGAGAAATTCCTGGTCTACCGCGAGCGATGGAAGCTAGCGGCGTCGTGTGTCGTGCGCCACGACAGGGTGATCGCGGTGGAGCGCAAGCACCAATCCTTCGTCGCGGCGTACGTGAGCAGGCGGATGGAGCGACCGGCGCCGTGGGTGTGGACGGTGCAGCGTAAGCGATTCGCCTATCCTCCTGGAAGCATCAAGTACGTGACCGTCCAAGCCCACCATGAGAATCTCTACCAGCTTGAGCCCGACGGTGGAAACTACTTGAACACTCGCCCATGCCCGCGATTCATCCTCGATGCCAGACGCTGCCCGAGCTCCTCTCCTACAAGGACGCCTACTTCCATAGCCCCGGCTCCAAGGTCCAGATCTTCGTGGCGCTCAAGTGCTACGTCAAGTCGCAGATGAGGCAGCTGGTTGCGGTGTTTTTCGAGCGAGATGAAGGCGATGGTAGCAGCGTCACTGCCAGGACTGCCATCTCGTTTGGGGAGGAGGCGCTGAATCTCGTGACTGTGGGGTGGCTGGAAGAGTAAGGGATTGAGCTGGGCGGGGTCGGGCATGGTGGGATTGAGTGTGGTAGAGAGGGCATTCCAAGCTACCAGATTAAGGTTGATACCACCAAGGTGCTCGAGGGTGCTGGCGACGATCCCAACGCCATTCGGAATCACTGTGGTGACTACTTCACGTTTGATCTTTATGCCATCGAATCTGAATTCCATACTACTAGATGAAGTTACATTCAGTGCTATTACTTGTATATCTTCTTTGTTTTCAAAGTGAAGTTCAAAACGTCAACGAAAACTCAATAAAAGTCAACATAGTCACTCTGGCTACCATTGACTACATTTGACTTTTAGTCAAACATAGAGGACGATCCTGCTAGAAACATTAAAAATCCCGCGGGAAAAGAGTACTAAGGCGAAGAGATGAGAGACTTGAGAAGCAATGGCTTGGAGCACGAGCAAACATGGGCCTTTAAGCGCGGAATGTTTGGCTGGACGCAACGGCAGCGATGGCAGCGCAGCTCGGAATCCAGCAGCCTCTTTTCCATCTCCTCCGTGCACTCCTCGAGCTTCCCGCGGCTCTCTAGCTCCGCGATCACGTCCCGCGAGTCCCGGAAGAAGCTCGTCGTGAACGAGTTCCAATGCTTCTTGTTCTTGAGCCCCGGGGAGTTGAAGTCCTGGCTGATGACGTGAAGATGGACCTGCCGCATTGATGGTACCTGTGGATCCAAGCTAAGTTCCTGAGGAGACACGAGCTTTGGAGTATCTTACCGAGTGGTAGCCAAGCCGGAAAACGAGAGAGTTGTCTTCTTCCACGAGTTTCTTAGCCCAGCGCTCGCCAACAGCATGCATCTCGCGGAGGAGCGGAAGGTGCTCCTTAGTAACGTCGGCTATGGAGTCCAATCCAGCCTTTCGCGACACCACTAGAAGATGCTTCTTTGCCTGCACACCAATCGACATTTCAGTTAGGAACTACAACGAACTTTTGAAGCAGCGAACCTTTGCGTAGAGATCAGGCAGAACAACACAATCGTCGGTCACCTCCAGTACCACATTGCTGTGCTTCTCAGGATGAAACGCTACGTCGTGCAGAGCTTGAGCCCACGCAGGCCAGTTCACTGGCTTCTTGGTAGCGGCTTTTTCTTCGACCGCTGCCTTTAGAGTTCCAGTTCCGCTCGCGGGGTTGCCTTCTTCCCCTGTAACTTTTCCCACCTCAGCCTTACCCTTCTTCGAAGAACCTGGAGAATCATCGTTACCATTTTTCCGCTTCGAAGCTTGCATCATCACAGCAAACGCGTCGCGTGGTTTGCCACCAGGGGAGCTGCTGTTGCTGGCAGGAGACGCAGTTACTTTGGCTTTGGAAACTTGGCCTTTTGCAATGGACGCGAAAGTCGAGAAGAGAGCAGCGTAACATTGTCGCAGCAGCCTACAGCCCTGGGAGTAGTCGTCGGCGATGCAGTTTGGCCTCTGTGGGTTCATGTTGGGCCCAAGGACGTGAATGACGTGAGTTACCCCTTCCTTCGTGCGTAGAGGAGACGAGGCAGGCAGTGGAACGGCCACCACCTTTCCTGGATCCAAAGTTTTCGCATATTTTTTCGTTGCTTCCTCAAAATCGTCACCAGCAGCTCTGTAGATTGCAAGATTCACGCCGCCACCACCACCCTTGAGGCGCCTGAAACAAAAAGATGTGCGCTCAGCAGAAAGAGAAGAAAAAACATCCAAGAAGTTGATCTCACCAGTTTGCGGCGTTAGCAATGACTGAGCAACGAGGGCCTCCGGTGGAATGGAGCTTTGTGATGTCTCCATGGGTCACTAAGAACTTCCGGCTGTCCAAGCCGGCGGACTCGGCCCTGCTTCGAACACGGGAGAGCATGTCCGACCCTTGGTCTATATCCACCAGCACCAGCCTCAAACCACTGCTCTCCGCACGGCTGAAGAACTCTGACACTGTCTCAACAATGATATTTGCAGCTTTCTCGTGATCAAAGCGGAAATCTGCTGTAGAGATTGACGGAAACGCAAGAGTTGCGCAGCTTTCTTCAGAAGCTTGCGGCATCGATCCATCACCATCTTTAAGTTCTGGAGCAGCGCTTTCCACTGCTTTCTTCGTGCTCGCAGCACTGCTGCTTGCTTGGCCCGCCTTTTTCTGACCACCACCCGGCTTGTTTAGAAACTGTTCCAGCGATCCCTTCGTCGTGCTGCTGGAATTTCGATCAAAAACTCCCGTTGGCAGCTTTGATGACGAGCTCAAAGATCTGTACGTCGCGATACATTCGTCGGCGTCACCATCTGTTCTACACACCGTGATTCTGCTGAATCCTTCCTCCAGTGCTGGAAGCTCCACACCGTGAGCCATCCTTTGAATAACAGCCCCGACCTTCTTTCCTTCCAGTCCCCCCTCGTGAGAAGTCCGATTCATGGCCCGAGTGATACACGTCCCAACCGGTAAGTTGAGCACCACGCCATGGGCCTCCACACCGTGTTTCTTCGCAAACTCGATGAATTCCAGCCGCTGCTCGCGGTTGAGATTGGTTCGATCGATGAAGACGCTGCTGGAGGAATTGAGGGCGATGGTGGCTTGTTTGATACACTGAGCTTTCGTCCCTCGCTTCCCATTGGCGATGATATCCTGCATTTGAAGAAGGGCCCGTTCATTGGGAACGCTCCATCTAGACAATCATACATGCCAAATCTCACTCTCACTCCTCTCAAACAATCAAACAGCGAAAAAAGAGAGGAAAAGCTCATACCTGACAAATCCTGGTCCAAGTCTGTGAAGCATTCTCGATGACGCTGGAACAAAACCGGCTTTTTCCACTCCCTGGAACCCCGACCAGCACCACTACCACCAGATTTGGCTCGCACGAAGCGCTGCCCTCGATGATGGCCGGGGCTAGACTAGAAAAACAAGAAAACCGTCACAAAATTTCTCGTGCGTCATTCCATACCTTGCTCCTGCGATTGATCGGCAAAAGTCTTGTCCGAGGAAGGGGATGGAGGATGCGAGAACTGCTGCCAATGCTCGGGATTCTTGCGGTAGCACGCCGCACCGTATTTGCAAACTGGCAAAGACTCCATCGCTAAGAACCCTAAACCTTAAAAACAAAACTTCTCTCACATTTAGCGCTCACTCAGATATAGAGCTACCACCTCGCATAGATCCACTCTAGGGTTTTGATTTTCTAGGGAGTAAGTAGATCATAGTGGCCCAAGAACACTCCCTAAGATAAGCCCATCCTGAGGCGGAGGGTCTAGAATTCTCACTTCTCCAGGCTAGGATGGATGGCGTCGTTGTGAAGCAGCAGCAAGGGCAAGTGATCGAGCGCTTTGAGGCGCCGATCACGGTGAAGGTGATCCTAGAAGAGCTCCGGGAGAGTGGCTACAGGGGTCATCTCATTAGAGAATCCACTCAGTTGAGGGTTCCGCCTCCGACAGTACTTGTTCCCGGAGATGTTGTCGTCTTGGTTGAGGTATGTTGATATTTGTTGATCTTAGGCCCGCGCTTAATGAATTTTCTGTAACTCTGTTCAGAAGCGTCCTAGAGAGCCGTCGTGGTTTGATGAGCATGATGGCCTCCCATCGGCATCCGCCTTTGCAAAGGACGTTGCTGAAATGAAGAAGCAGCTGGGAAAACATGATCCTGTGTATGACTTGGGTCGAAACTCTGCGCCGATGCCATTGGTCCTGGCACACGAAGCATTCGCGGGATATGTGCAGGCTTTGGATTCTCACCGTTTGGACGTCAAAGACTGGACGTTTCTTTCTCGGATGATGGCTATGAGCGGCTACTTCGACCAGGACGTGGACCGACAAGCCGAACTACTGCAATGCTGGAAGCTTTTCTTTGAGCAGAATTGGCCTGGGAAGTTCAAGTTGACGTCGTCCAGAGAGCCAGATATACTGATTCAAGCACTTGTTGGTGGTGAGTGGATCACCGTGGGCATCGTAGTAGTGAAAAATGAAGTGGGGCTGGGAGGGGAGCCCTGCGTCGAGTCACTTAAGCATTATGGCTCGCATGCCACATCAAGGATGCGTGACATGCACTGGAGCTACTGGACGTCATGTTTACCAGTGTTGATTTTAGAAGTTGTTGGGCCAACGATCAGAGTTGGAGGTGCCATATTTCATGACAGCCCGGGATACGAACCATTCACTCCTTACCTTCATATGCTCAAGTTTCTCCAGGACGACGAGTATCTAACGAGGCTCGCAAGAGCTATTGTGGCATTCCCACCAGCTATTGTGTCCATTTCGGCGTTCTATGCAGCTCTGGCGCCTTTGCAACCAACTCAAGCTTACACAGAGCGAGCTGTTGAGGCTTGGTGGCCGAGTCTCTTAATTGCAGAAAAGCAGCGGCATCCTGGGCTTGAAGTGTCTCAGTTTACGAGGCAAGTATATCAGAGGACAGAGAAGCGGCTCATTTTTCTACTAAAATATTCAACCGGCGAGGAACGCTTGATGAAGTTTTCTCAGAGATATGGCGCGGATGTGCACAAGGCCTGGAGTGATGCTGGTTTTGCTCCTACATTCACCATTCAGACGTTGGTAAACGGATGGAAGGCTATCAGCATGGAGTATTACTCTCCCAACGCTGGCTGGATTCCTTTAAATCGGCTGGAGCCTGGACCTTTCAACCGTGAGCACGCATTGGATCCGTCTTCATGGGAAAATTGCAGGCAGGCTGTGGTGAAAGCTTATCAGAGCATTCACGAGCTTTACCCTTATCACGTTCATGGGGACCTCCGGAAGAGAAACATCTTGTTCAATTTAAACAGTTTGAAGGTTGCATTTGTGGATTTCGACTGGGCCGGCACTTCAGGGGATGTTCGCTACCCAATCTTTCTCAACCCAAACATTAACTGGCCCCAAGGTGTTCAGGCTTGTCACCCTATCCTTCCAGTTCATGACAAGGAGCTGCTCAAATTAGACTTGAACTAGAAACTCAATCTCTGGACGCCCCTGGAGCGCTTGAAGCCATGCCAACGGCCCTCCGGACATGGGGGGGTTTACTGCTCAGGCTGAGGCACCCATCCATGGCGCTCTTCTTGTGGAAGAAGGCTGTCCTGTAGCCCGCGTGCACACCACAGTGGCATATCGTCCCCGGTCAAGAATAAGATGTGGCCGCGCTGCTGCCCAGTCTCCGTACTCGCATACGCACAAGATTTACTTGTAAAGTTGTTCAACATTTGAGCTTGGCAGCTCCAGCTAAACTTAGGAATATAGAGATGCCGCGGGAATCGTTTGAGGCGGTGCTGCGAGAGCAACGGAAGCGCTGGACCCTCGCCAAGCTCAACCGCTACCTTTTCCGTTGGTTTCTCCTCGGGCGCTCGATCACCACTTGGGTGGGGAGAAGCCTGGCTCTTTGGTAGCTGAACAATTCAATCTCTCTATCGAGCTGGGAGAGAAAAAAACGAAAAACCAAGAACACGGACGAGAATAAGCCAGCTGAATCGGCGACGCTTGCGCGCTGGCTCCTCCTGAGAGTCTGTCGATTTCCCAGACTCGGCTGCTGGGCTCTCGCTTTATAAAAAAGAGAACTAAATTTACAACGGCGATAACAACTTGATCGCCAGGAAGATCTGGACCTTGGACGTAGGCATCGCACTGGCCGATGTCGAGGATGAAGCGCGGGCATGGGCGATTCGTCAGGTACTTGCCATCGTCGGGCTCGAGCTGGTAGAGATCGGCATGGAAGAGGAGCTTGATGCTACCACGTCCTGCGCCCCAGAGACCATCCCATCCCTCCTGGACATGAATCTATCCCTCACGTACCCAGCTACGAACAATTCATGTTGACGCTCCACGGCGATGACCTTCCCGCCGGGACTCCGGAAAGGACATGAGCTCAAGCGTCGTGAGAAAACGTATTGCCAAAAATTATGCCAAATGGAGATGCCCAATGCAAGTCAACACGAGGAGATGCAAAGTCAAAAAGGTCAATGAAAAGTCAGGTCCTCAAAGACTATGTTGACTTCCATTGACTATAACTGATTTTGATCAGCTGAATTTGATCCAAGCTGCCAAGTTCTAATTCACTCATCTCAGATGAATCAAAGTTCTGAGTTCTTGGATTTAAGGTAAAGGTTTAATTAAGTTAACACTTCATTCTATAGCAAACCTCACGAGCTTTCTAAAGAAGTTCTATAGTCAGCGCTATCGTGAAACTCTGTCTTGATGGAGTAGAGATCAAGCGTAACATGGTCGCCACAGTCGACATCGTCACCCCCGCCCTCGAGCACCTTGGCGATTTCGATCTTCATCTCGTAGCTCGGAATGCCCGGTCGATCGCATTCCACCCCGCCATGCCCCACTCCGGTCAATGAAATCCCCTGCTCCTCCAGCCACGCCACAGTCACGGGATGGAGTGCCTCCTCCCCAAACGAGATGGCTCTCGCAGCGATACCATCACCTTTGTCTCGCTCGAACAACACCGCCACCATCTGCCTCATGCGCGTCTTCAAGTAGCACTTGAGCGCCAGGAAGATCTGGACCTTGGAGCCGGGGCTACGGAAGTAGGCGTCCTTGTAGGAGAGGAGCTCGGGCAGCGTCTGGCACTGTCCAACGTCGAGGATGAATCGCGGGCATGGGCGAGTGACGAAGCACTTCCCATTGGAGGGCTCGAGCTGGTTGAGAGCGGCATGGTAGGCTTTCATGGTGAGGAGCTTGATGCTTCCCTTGGGCAAATGGGCAAATGGAACGTAGAGTGGCGCCCACGTCTTGCGCCCCATGGACTCCCTCACGGGCTTCATCCTATCCTTGACGTAGCCGGCGACGAAAGATTCGTGCTGACGCTCCACGGCGATGACCTTGCCGCCGGGACGCATGACGCACGACATCCCTAGCTTCCATATCTCGAGGTAGCGGTTGAGCTTGGCGACGGTCCAGCGCTTACCCACGGTGCACTCCTCGCGGTTGTTCCATGCCTGCCAGTCGAGATCGTCGTCGTGCTCCGCCTTGCGCTCCACTGCCTGGAGCGCGCGGGCAAACACCGCTTCGAATCCTCGCGGCATCCTTCGATAAACCCTAGCTAAAGCGCTACTCTTGTTCGGGTTTGATCGAGAGCAGCTGGAAGGATTGCTGACGCTCCCTTTCAGCTACGACAAACAAACTCGACGATCATTCCAGTGTCAAGAGACAGCAACCAGATCACTGCCAGTTCTTGTAAGTACTATTTCCCTCCAACTTTCGTTTTTGCAGACCTCTCCGATCGTAGCTCACGGGAGAATTTCCGCTGCAAAAATTGCGTGCTCATGGTGTTTCTGATGGCTTCTGTCAGGTTACGTCACGTCTCGCCAAGGAGTGGCTTCAGGAACTTAGGAATCTCGGCTGTGTAGGGGATTCCTTCCCGTGAATTGGTAGAGCTTGAGCAAAGGTGACTAGTGACCATTCGTCATCGGCTCCATGTCAGGTCTGTTTTCATCAGTTTCTAATTCCTTACATTTACAAATTCAGGCCTGTTACTGCAAGTGATTTGTCCTGTCACGGGAAGTGACTTATGATCTTTCAAGTACCCGGTGCTGCAAATGCCGCTACCCCAGAGCCTCGCGCAGCTGCTTGCTTCAAGTGCTATTTGGAAGAGTCAAACTCTCTGCCGATCTTGTTTGTTTACATCGAATCCTGAGGTATGCAACTGCTAAATCTGTCCGTCGTTCAATCTTGAGCAGGACACGGGCCTTCTCTGACGGACATCCATTCTGTTGCCATCGCAAAAATGACTCTGTAGGTACATCTTCTTTCGTATTCATCCCCATATTTATGTTTCCTACCTTAGAGGATGGCTACGTCTGAGGAGCTGCTCCCTTTTCCTCCAGCCATGCGTACTGAAACCAGTGTGGCTGACAATGTGAGAGATTTCGATCAGCTTGTCTTTATCCAAGGTAAATGAAAAAAAGTACTGAAATCTTTGCTGCTTACTTTATCCTGGGTTCTCCACGATCCACTGCTCGATCTCCCAGCTTATGGATACAGCGATGTGACTACTGGTATGTTAGAAACGAAATTTTCCTTTACAGTTGATGGTTGGTCGGCTGACAAGCAGGTTATTTTCCTTTTATTTTTGTGTCTTCTCAGGGACATTCCCTTTCTGACA